TTCCTTGTGTCAGGAGACACAACACTTCCTAGTGTTGTTCTGTGTTGTTAAACTACCACCTCTTTCCATCCCAATATATTTAAACCTGATAAAGAAACATATTTCTTTATAGAAAGCCTAATTAACTCATGGAACTCATTGCCCCGAGATATCACTGAGGCCGAAAGCTTAGCAGGTTGCACAAACATTTAAGACATTAGTATGGATAATGAACACATCCCCAGCGAGGCGCTTTGGAAAATCTCCCTTGACACTCATCTGCATCTTTAGGCACCTACATATCTTTAAAAATCTGTCCCTAAGTGACTGAGGTCAGGAAAAATTTTTCTCTATGGGCAGCTTATTCCATGTTTGCCTAATAGAAGGTGGGATGCAGCACACCCCTATCCCAATCAGGAAACCACTAACGAGCTCCTCTGGGCTCAACCAGTACTAAATAGGTGCACCTGCAGAGCCTGTGCCCTGTGTAGGAAATGAGCTTAAAAGGGAGAGTCTATCACTGGAAAGGGGGGTAACCAGAGGAAGGTGGCTGGGCCTCAGAGGCAGCAACGCTTGCAACAGAGCTGCTAGGAGGAAGATGGCTTGCAAACCTCTGCCACACGCAAGGGCCCTCCAGACCAGGTACAAGCCCACTACAACAGGGAGGGGTTGGAGATAAGCCCTGACCTAGGGTCTAACTGTACTTAACCTTCATTGACAAGCCAGACCTCTATAGACTCATAGATTTTAAGGTCAGAATGGACCATCATGATCATCTAGTCTGGCCTCCTGCACATTGAAGGCCACAGAACTTCACCCACCCACTCCTGTAACAGACCCCTAACTTCTGGCTGAGTTACGAAGTCCTCAAATCATGGTTTAAAGACCTCAAGTTACAGAGAATCCGCCATTTACATTAGTTTAAACCTGCAAGTAGTCCATGCCCCATGCTGGAGAGACTCTTTTGAATGACTCAGACAGCGATCGCCCCTGTAATTGGAAAGACTTTTAAGAGGGAAGCGTCTCTGAAAAAGCCCTGGCCCTAAAAAGGCCCAGCCTATCATATGGGGTATCTCACAACTTCTTCAGAAACATTTAGAAACAGGCTCTGAGAGAGACAGGGTAGGGCTAGCTGGAGTATTAGTCTGGTTTGGTATATCATGTCCTACTTCACTGAACAGACTAGATCTGACCTTGTAGCATTTACACAGGTGAAACTCCCACTGAAACCAGTGAGAATTTTGCCTATGTATGGCCCCAATCCTACAAATAGAACCACCCCTTAACCTCCGTGGAACTCTGGGGTTCTGTGCAAGTGCTTGGGTCCACCTGCATGGTGTGTTTTGCAGGATCAGGACCTAAGAATTGAAGGACTGGGCATGATGCATGTAATTATGACACGAGCCCTGCTTCTTGCCGAAGATGGGAGCGGACGACTTACCCCAATAAACTTCCTAAGAAATTCCCTGGAGGATTCAATGTCCGTACTGGACAATTCAATGTAATCTCCCATCATGCCCTCTTCTGTCGCTGGCACCTCCCGATAGAAATGTTTGGCTCTGGCATAGAACTGCATCTCGCCGTTGATCACTTCGCTTGTTAAAGCATAAAGTTTCACTGCAAACAGAAAGTGTATTATTATTTATTTATAATGGGATACTCCATGGTCTGATTGGGTGTCTTATTGGATTGTGTGTGTGTGTGTGTGTGTGTGTGTGTGTGTGTGTGTGTGTGTGTGCGCGCGCGACGTAAGATTCTTAGAAGTGTAGGGAATAAACTAGTTTTAGACTAGT